GCGCGACCTCCTAGTGTTTCGTTGCCCGAGGTTGACAAAAGCACTCGTGGTGGTCGTAGACGTTTATTGACGTATCATGATAACAGATATTACCGAGTACGTGCCGCTGAGACGACTAAATAATCCAAGCACATAAATGCAGTAGCATAGCGAAAGTGTCACACGTATTTCCTGGATTTGAACAGAACCCAGCTTATATATATACCTGAGCTGAAAACCGTGCTCAGTAGAACACAAGTAGAGGTAAGACACAAAGAAATATCACAGTTGGAGTCAGAGTTAATTACGAAGAAAACATGAACAAAAGCGTCCTCGTGGATTGCTCCTTTTCGTCGTACAATCATCGTCACTACACTGTCACTACTGGAGCAAGTGTTCTAGGGATTAGATCACTGACCAACGTGGGGTGATCGACCAGCTGAAACATACAATCTTCAAATCAGTAGGATATGAAGTCGTACTTTTTGCACTGTTATGGAAGCACTTCAAATGTGATCATGAATCAAAATCATCACAATGTAGAGCTGTGATCCCGGGGCACACGATCCTGGAGCAAGCAGATATTTACCCCTAAAGCTAATAATCATTGAGGAACATGAAAAATATAGGGCTTGATCGGTCAATCAACAAGGCTCGAATAAAATGGGCAACCGTGCTGCTTTATCATTTTGGGAAATCCGATTGAATTAGAATTTGTTTTAATGTTTCACTGGAGCGTTAAGATACGTGACCTCTCATCTACCTTGTGAAACCGCCGTCATCGAAACCTCTTGCGAATAACACTGAAACGGTTGCGAGGTGGTTTCTTATTGTCATGTGTTTGAGTCATGTAAGTTCACAATACTTAGTGCCGAATTAAGTTTTTCATATTGTGATAACAGCGATTTTTTATTTTTCTATTCAATATTTTGATTTGTGTTCTTTTTCTACCTATTAGTGATGGAAAACAGTCCTGTATCGAATCCTGACAGTAAACCTGACCTCGGAGATGCTGGAAGTGCCTACTTTTCGGATTCTGGTTTAAGCAGCAACTACTCCTATCAAACGAATGCCAGTCATTCCAGTGCCTCAGTTTTACCCTCGCCGTCGTTATCTGCCATTTCTAATTCACTGGACTCGCTTGGCCCCGTATCAATGAATTCCTCCGTCTCAAGTTTTTCAAATAAAAGTTTTCCCGGATTTTGTGAATACAGTTCCAGTGCAATGGCGACGAATCCTTATGCCCAAGCAGCTAGGCATTCTTTTTCTCAGGGATTTTTGACTAGCCAAAATAATTACAACCCCGGCTATCTTTCTAGTCCAAATATGAACAGTGCTTTCTACGGACGGCAAGTTGGAAATACTGCTTTTGCTGCCCCAGGAAGTGGTATTTGTTCCCCACAAATGATGTTCTCTCAGGAAATACAACAGCAACAAAATCAGTCGTTGCATCAGAATGCGGACCAGCTGAATGGTCATATGAGCTCTCTGGATGCTCGTTATAGTCACAACAGAGCGGAACATACTCATGCAGCTTATGGGGATAGTTATTCAGCCAGTGTCCAACCGCTCCATATCACCACATCCCCGCGGCATTCAGTGGCTCCGACGAACCATATGTCCGTGAGCGCCAGAGAAGCCGCTCGTTTGGAGTCCATAAGTAAAGGATCTCCTCGTATACTGTCTCCTGGCTGTGAGTCCGGTGTTGTGCAGTGCGGCGGAACAACTCCGGGATCAGGCTCTATGCTTACTCCAAGATCTACCCGCACCGTGACGGGAGGCTCCGAAGTGTCTGCCGCCGATAGCAATACCAGTGTGGGGTCGATCAAAGCCACATTTACTCCGTGCAAAGTCTGTGGGGACAAAGCCAGTGGTTATCATTACGGTGTGATTTCTTGCGAAGGATGCAAGGTGAGTTCCGACATATACTTTCAGAAGTTGTCATTGTTTCCCACCACTATTTCTTCCTACCTATTACGCTCAAATGTCTGGTTTTTGTGTGCGCATGTTTTATCTTCACTACGATATGTAGCCCAAAGTAATGATAATAAATCAGTTTATTCGTTACCTGGATTATAAATCTTGCCACTAGTTGTTGGATGGAAAATATTTTATAAAGCTATCATAATTTTACTACTTGGATCTTTTACTTATTTACCTAACCACCTGCATATACCGTGCCACTGGAAAACGGAATTCTCAGTATCCTGGATCAAAATAATTAGAAGTAAATATTTTAGAAGCAGTTGGCTGATTCATTCCAGTCTGTATGAAGAAATATGTCTCGTTCACAAGCTTATTGTATTGTGTTGTTTTGTAATAACTTGTGCAGGCAACTGTGTCTACATTTCAGTAAAAATGTGTTAAACGTTACAGTGGGAGAAAAAGTAAAATATATATGTATGTATGTGCATAAGAATGATAAGAATGCAAGAGAAGTTCATCTTTATAGGTTCAAAGTTAGTTCTTTTCGGATCGTAATCCGTTAGAATACAAGCCAGATAGGAAACCACTGAATTGCGACAAATGTTTATGCGGGAGCGTAAGCAGCGATAATTGGATCGGGCTGTAGCGTGGGAACCGCAGGAAAATAAATCGGGATTGAGCGGATCACTCAGGTCGTTTAGTATCTTATGGGCGAAATTCTCACGTGATGTACTATGAGAATCACACAACTTAATGATTAGGGTGTTTAAGGGAATAAGAGGAACACGGTTGTTGATTACTGAACTACAACGAAGAGTAATGAAATCCTTATTAAGTATTCCGGGAAAAATAACAGAACCATAAAGTGTGACAGGAAAATGCATTGATGCACAAAAAATATATAGTGTCATGTTTCACCCCAAATTGTTGTAGCCTATGCATCTGGAAGAATAAGTGGCGCAGTCTACCGAAACAGGCTAGCACATGAGAGGACCGGTTGATCCTTGTAGTGACCCCTAAGTATTTGGTGGTATGTGTTTTGGTGATTGGTACGTAACTGATGACTGAGGGTTTCGAGGGATACTCGTATCGGGAAAGACTGAAAACGCATTCGAAGCTTTCTACCGAAAACCGGCTTGGTTTGAGAATGATAATCAATTATTGAACTGTCAGAAAATGATTCCATGTCAAATTGTTTTGAAATGGCGTGATATAGCACCAAATCACCAGGCTAAGGCACGTACTGCGTATGCCCAGCTGTTGTCTGCACCACGCTCTATCCTCTGCGGCTAGTCCGGGCCGGAGGAAACCACGTGAAGGTCACCAGATGACCTGGAGACGGGGCATGAAGAAATTCACAGAGCCATTAGGTAGAGTAGGTGTCTCACGCCTTCCAGGTTTGGTTCAGAAAGACTCCACAACTGCTTGGTTGGAGACATTGAAGGATATGGCAGCGAACCGACAACAGTGGCGTTCTTGTCGTTTCTTATCAGGTCAGAATGCTTGAAACGTTGTGTATGCAGAGTTCGATTGCGTACCCTCTGTGGTGACCATAGAGGTTCACTTTCTTCCCCTCCCTCAAAATAGGTCTAACCCCTGTCCACCTTAAATTTTACCACTTTGTATGCATTGCGAGTTTGGCAGAGATAAGTGAAGTTCGCCTTACTGTGTTTCGCTGTAGGATGATGATGATGAAATCATCAGCATATTTAAAGGTCCCGGCTGGTAGGATAAAGGGTGAGTCACTGATGAAAGCTGAAAATAAGTATGAAGAAAGCCCCTGAAGGACTCCAAAATTATTCACTAGCGGTTTTAAAATGACGTCATTTGCTTTTGTTCTTTAAAAACTTCCTGTGAAACTGTCTTTCAACCACGACAATAAACGTAGAATAACCGAACGAATGTAAATTTCGCGAAAGAAAAGACCGTGAAGCGGAAGAATGATCAGGGAAAACAGTGAGTGAATTTCAGGGAATCATCTAAAGATTTCCAAACCACGTGCACCAGAGAAGAGAGGCATCCGAAGTACATGTAGCTGGTTTAGATGCAAACCGAAGGGGATCATTAGGAATATTATTACCAGACTGCAAGCGGGCAAGAACTGCGCGCTCTACTAGTTTAATTTCATAAGAAGTGATGGCGATGGGACAGAAGCGTTTAGATAAAATGCCACATGAAGATGATTTAGGAATGAGAACAATGGTGAATGGTTTCCAGGAACCCGGAATTGAGCATGTGTAAATGAGCTTGGTAATAAGAAACGCAAACATCTCGATGAGTGAACCGGCACTATATCTGAGCATAGACGAAGATAGACCAACGGGACCAATTGCAATCATGAGTTTTGTAGTTTTTAGAAGATGATAGACCTCATCAGTGACCAGATCTACGGTAGATAGGTAATCTATGGGGTGTGGAAATAGGAGATCATTTGAAGGATAAATGAATGCAGCATTAAAGCTGTCCACGTCAATTGTTCTTTGTTGTCCGTTTCTTCCGTCCACAACAATCTGATCCCTTGCCATAGCAGTCTTCCAGCTCCCAGAACTTGCTTTACGAATGAAGCATTCAGTCTATTGATCTCTACCCCGACTTGCAGCGTGAGCTGTTTGACAGTGGCTGTTTGGTGCATCTTAAGCCCTTGCTCTTTACATCTAAGAGCTTTTAATCGTGGAAAGCATACTCTGTCAGAGTGAATAAAATCTGCTTCCATAGGGTAGCGTAAACTGAAAATCTTATAACCTGTTTCTGTAAAATGTTCAGCAGAACAGAGAGATTGATGAACGGAAAACGACAAGGTGATGGCAAAACATTTCCTTAGGAGAAGGAGTCTGTCGGCTGAAAGATTCCCAAGTTTTATGTTCATTCGTTTTGTTTCATACAACCCATTTGAAAACCTACTTTTTTTCTGTTGGTGTTCACAGCATGATGCACCATTCACGTTTTTAAGTTGACTTGCTTTGATCACTGACGGGTTAGGATTTTGGCGGTGTTTATGAGCTTAGTACAGCAGGTAAATTCACTAAAACACATGACTCCTGATAGTATTTTCGAGGGCCTGAGCTTGGTTACTTTTTGACTGATTGATGTATAAAGGAAGAAACAGTCTCGATAAATTAAAAGAGCAAGATTAACATTGTTTTTTATGGGGCATGGGATTTCAAAAGATAACTATATGATTCGTGACCATTCTGAACCACATCCCAGCGTCTCTAAACAGTGACATTCCTCGTCCCTTAGACCCCAAACTGAAAGGCCGGTTGCACCAACCAACGCCATTGGTGAAACTAAATTCTTCATGCTCCGACGCCAGGTTATGGTGTGACTGTTGCGACGCTTCTTCCAGTCCTCTTCATCATGTGCAGCGAGACCGCGGAGAGGTAGATGATGGGCAGACTTACACAAAGCATGACCGGGCTATTGGAGGCAAAGAGCAATTTATTTTTCGAGTGAATGGTTGCGTCTTTACATCTCCAATTAGTGTGATATACAGTTGACGGTTTTTTTTATCTGGTTCGATGTACACCTCAAGTCAACTGCAGAAACTCTTGACGGGGATATGAAGAAACACTGATTGGTAGGCAACTGTTCGTCTAATAAAGAACCAGTAATAAGTATAATAAGTGGCTAAAGCACCCGTCGTAATCGATGTATCACAGTGTCTATAAGTACTTTTGAACCACAGAAGATTGAGTGCAAAATTTTACCGTAGCCTGCTTAACTTGGCTGAAAGTAAATTTTGCATAATCTATCGTCAACTAATATTTTAAGTCAAGTAATGTCCACGGACTACCATTCGCACGAACAGCCCGGTTTCTCTTATATTTCATGCTTCAGAAGCTTGCAAATGCGCATTACTCTGCAAATCACCTTTTCTCATCGATATCTACTTGGGATCTGAAATCATGATAAAGAGATCTGTCCTCGAATTAAAAGTATTTAGAGATATATATCAGTGCTTGACTCTTTAGGAACGCGTGAAGCTAAATTCCAAGCTAAGGTACGAAAGAAAAATAGCAAGGAACATCAGAAGAGGAAATACANAAATACAATGAACTTAGGAAAATTATGGGATAAAGGGAGCAGAGTGGAATGGAAGATTGCCACCAAGTATGATGCATCCAATTTTGTGCCAAGAATGATAAAAAGAGAAATGCATATAATAGGACTAGTCGCATAAATTAAGTGGAATTTTACTCTGAGAAGAGTTTAAGAAGACCATAGAGCAGCAAGTCATAGGTGGTTGTATGGATAGGTTGTCGAGACCCGTTTGGATGGAGACTTCTTGTTTTTCAGTGGCTTGGAGCTTCCTAGTGCTCTTGATGATGCTCCAGGGTAGGGCACATCCGTAGAAGAACGCAATCTGGTAGGCATGACGTTATTTTCTGCATTCTCCAGCGCTTTTGCGTGTACCATGGTTATCGGTTAACCTTGCGGATTGGCCGTTCTGATGGAGAACAATTTACCCCTAAGGTTTTTTGTCGTCCTTCATCTAACCTTGATGCAGCCTATACCTTCATCATCACTTTTGTGACTTCATGTAAACTGCTCCTGATTGAGATTCGCTGTATCCCATACAGAAATGTTCATGGGACAGTTTTCCCAATCCTTGTTATTTTCAGTCATGCACCTAACGTGAATTGTCTTGATCAGACTCTTCCATCGAGAATGCACATTTTATCAAGAGCATGGATGTTGAGTATTTTCGCTGTGTTCTTTGTTTTCAGATCTGACATGTGCATACTTTTCATAAATAACATTCACCGCTGATTTTAAAACAAAAGTCACCAGAGGTGGCCCATTTCGGTCAAAACCACAAAGGAAACAATTGTGGTTCCCTTTCCTAAAATGCGATGAATAACGCGAGTGTTTGGTGACTGCAATAAAAAGTAAAAGAAATGCCCCGCGGTAAAACAGATGTTATATTAGTTTGAATTTTGATATGGAAAACAGCATAAGGTCCCGACATGAAACCAGATGTAAGCAAAACATTTCACCATCAAAGTCTGACTGCAATCGCCTGATTGCAGCCTTAGATTTTGTAACTTGAAGCACGTCACAGACAGCAAACTTAATGTCTTGATCACCACCATTCTAAGGTTTGATACAACAACTGACTGGTTTTACATCCGCTTTTATATGATGAAATTATTCTGTTCCTATTCTTACTCATAGACTGAAATGCATTTGCGTTTTCTCGATTGTAGATATGAGTGTGCGTCATTAGTTATGTCTGTTGCCTCGATTCCCAAAGAGACCGGATCTTACTTTTTCTGGTTGTTTATTGATCGGTTTCCGATATGAGCCAGAGAAAGATCGAATTACTCATTGATACAACCTGTGTTTTGGGTATGCTTTTTACTTTGACACGATTGTCTCGTCCTTGGGAGTAACTGGGCTTCGTAAATCCCAGTGATCCACTACCGTACCTTTATTTTTTCTACTGTCTTATCACATTTCATGCACGTTTGAGTCCAGTTACCTCTCACGATAGGTTAGCCTTTATAACGGAAAAAATAATCCATTTATTTGCTAGTGGGTCACTGCTAGGTTTCCGTAGCCAAAACCGGTGAATTCATAACCGTAGTCTTCGATTGGTCAAAGCCCAGACCCACAAAGCCGCGAGGCTGTGTAAAAAGCGCAATCCATTAGAGACCGGAATCCAATTCATTGGATCGGATTGAACGAAATTAAACGTTCGAGGTGCTCACTACAAAGCTACCCACAACCAGGAACGTATGTGTAGTTAGTTCCTACACCCCTTCTCGTATTGCTTGCAATCGGGGTTTGTAGCCAACCCTCTTGGGTGAACTGCCAATAGTTCATAGATCACTTCGCGAGATGAAAAGAAAGGATGACCAACTAAAACCCGAGATACCCACCCCACCCCCCGGTCTACTGAGGCTTGCAGAGCACGTTTATCCCGGAGAAGCTGGTGGTCAATGGATTGGTTC